ACCACTACTGAATGCCTGGAGCAGCTGTTTGAGGACTCTGAAAAGTAAATATAGGCAGTTCTGATTGCAAGGTTTAGCTGTGCATGAGTTTCATCACCCTAGTTTGTTCAAATAACACCAGCCCCCAAACAACACAATTTGAATTTCAGTTAACAGAGTTTATTAACTATGAGTAACTGCAAAAAGTACAAACTTTGCTGCTAGCTCTTCAGTTCACATATTACTATGTAAATAACAGGCCACTGCTTTTGAAGTCTGTTGCTGATTGGTCATAGGTAGTAAAACGCCTGGTTTTGTTACTTCTTTGTCTTCTAATGAGAAACCTGTGTGCCATTTTACAACAACAAATAATAAAGGAATTGGTTAACAGTGCAACAATGAGATGTAACTGTCATAATAAAAACAACAAACTAATGTTCCCTAGGCATTGTTCTAATTATATACGTACATTGTCTTACTGTATCCTCTAAAGAAAAAGGTATGTGAGAGTTATTATCTGATACGGTGTGAAATATGTGGACAGAAGCAGTGTAGCTGAGGAGATCACGGCCCCGCTTCCCTCTGGTCTTTCTGAATCATGATGGGTTGTTTCTTTCTTTCTTTCTTTTTTTTTACCTGATCACACCTCTTATTTCGAGAACCCATTGCTGCCTGGATGATCTCCTTTCATAGACTGTTTGCAAAATAGTCCGTCCTTTTGAGTTATACACTCTTTTTCAGTTCAGTAAACTTGACTTTTATTTTTGTCTCTAATTAGAGGTTTTTTTTTCTTTTTTTAAGTTTATTTATTTACTTAGAGAAAGCTAGAAAGGAGCAGAGAGAGAGGAAGAGAGAGAATCCAGAGCAAGCTCCACATTGCCAGCGTGGAATCTGATGTGGGGCTCAAACTCCGGAACCGTGAGATCATGACTTGAGCTGAAATTTAGAGTCAGACGCTTAACAGACTGAGTCACCCAGGAGCTCCTCTGATTAGAGTTTTTCCAGAGTCTTCACAGAGCTTTTAGAGCTCTATGAGAATTTCAAAATTTGATATTTTTATTTTAATGGTAATCTAAACGTTTATATAGACTTACAAAATTTCATTTATTTACTAGTTGCCAAAATAACGAGTTGGTTTCCTAGCACCCTCTAGTAGTGACCAAGGACTTTATTCTCTCTGAGGATTTTCAGTGCGCATATTTATGCATATTTGAAGTCTTTGAATCCATTGTAGTTCACATTTCTGTTGATGCTCAAATTATTTCATCATTGCCCAGAGGCAGATCTTTTGACTTCCTAGTTTAAAGGCATGTCTTGATAATTTGGTTAAACTACCTTATAATTGCCCTTCAGTTTCAGTGACCAGAGTTATCCAATTGGCTTCATACATCATGATTAGATTTTGTGCAGTATCTCTTGTGTTACTGCTACTTGAGATGTAGATTTTAATTCTGTTACATTTTTAGTTTTGTATCTTAGGAGAAGACCTGTTTTTGCAATATTCGTAGGAGTTATTAAAAATGCTTACCTCATTTACCTTGAATGTTACAGTTGTTGGTCTTATATATCACCCTGTTTATCTGTTCAATGGCTTATGATATATCTTTTTAGAGTTTTAAACTGAGGTTGCCAAATAATTGGTCTAACTTTTTATTTCTGAGATGATTAAATTTTCACATTTGTTATTACTTCTAGATTTTGGAGGTGATGTATCATTTCTCTTATTCTGTACTATTTTCCATATGATTCCATGGTGGATTTTGTTGTTGTTGTTACTAGGAATTATGTGTGTGTGTAAATGTGTGTGTGTAAATTCATTTTATTCATCAGCTTTTGGTTACAGCTCAGGATTTGTTAGCAAATAAGCCCACATAAAAAGGATGCTGGCAAGTTTTCCTTCTGGCATCAGTAGATAAGATTATTTTGGATCGACTTTCCTGTTTAGAACAATTAGAAAGGCAGAAAAAAAAAATAAAGCAAAAAGGGGCACCTGAGTGGCTCAGTTGGTTGAGCATGTGACTCTTGATTTCGGCTCAGGTCATGATTTCAGGGTCATGGGATCGAGCCCTGTGTCAGGCTCTGAGCATGAAGTCTGCTCTAGATTCTCTCCCTCTCTCCCTCCCTCCCCCTCTGCCCATCTCCCCTGCTCTTGCACTTGGCTCTATATCTCTATAATACAAAAAAATGAAGTAAAAAATAATATTATGAATCTAGCAGAGAAGAGCCAAGGCAATGAGGAATTTTATAGTCTAGGTCTGGTAAAGCTCTGGCAAAACTGGAAGTCCAGAAGGATGAGTCCTGCATCTGGGACTCTTCTGTCCTTAAGTCAGTAGCTCATTTCAAAAGAGATGGCTTAGAAGCAGAGAGGGTAGGATCAAAGCTATCAATAGACTGAAGAGGCCAGGGAGACCGAAACTGGAGTTCAGGAATCTTCCAGCTTTCATTTGAGATCCCAAAGGGTGACAGCCTAGGAAAAATGATGTGTTAAAAAATTAAAGACAAGATGAACTAAAAATAGACCAGCCCTGGTGGGGGCAGAAGCCCAGCTTTCAGTCATCTTGGTTCCTAACTAGATAAAAGTGATTTGGGTTCTTGGTGACCCAAGGCTGACTTCGTCCTAGAAGCAAAACCAAATCCCTTCTGAAGGAAGACATCATCTAGAGCTTCAAATAATCACCACAATTTTTCATATACAGTGTCTATCACATGATAATCAGGCATAAGAAAATAGAGGAGGTGACTGAAAATCAAGGGAAAAAACAGACAATAGAAACTTACATGCAAATATTAAAAAAAATCTGATTAACCTGTTCAAGAAATTAAAAGACAAGATTGAGGATTTTGACAAAGAATTGACAGACTCCAAAAAAGAACCAAATGAAAATTTCAGAAACTGAAAAATACAACTAAAATAAGCAAATAAGTAAAACCCAGTCGTGTTAAGTATAGATTAAATAGCAGTTTATATACACTGAAGAGAGAATTAATGAACTGAAAGATAGGCCAGCATAAGATATCCAAAAAGAAAAATGAATGAATGGGAGAATCGAATAATTCAGAAAAGAGCATGGATGACATATAGGATTTGGTAAAAAGATAACTTGAATATATCTCGATCTTCAGGAGAGGGAGGAGAGAAAAGGGCAGAAACAGTGTTTGAAGAGATGATGGCTGAGAATTTATAACACAGGAGAGATATCAAGGTACAGGTTCCGTGATCTCTATGGGTCAAAATTGGGGCAACTACAAGTAAAGCTTCACGTTGTCATATCACAGTAAAGACATTAACAATCAAAGTCAAACAGAAAATCTTAACAAAAGCCAGAGCTAAAAAGGGCGGTCTACCCACAAAAAGAGCAGTAATAAGAAATGACAACTGACTTTGCTTCTAAAAGGATAATGACATCAGGCTTCACTTGAAAGGTATAAATAATAAACAAGAGAATAGAGCTAGTTCTGTCACTAACTTGTGTGATCTAAAGTCATTTTACATTTCCAGTCCGTTTTTTGTGTTACAGTTTAGATTTGAGCTTCTTAGCATGGTTTAATTTTATTTGAAGTGTATCCTACGTTAATGATACACTGTTTTGTGTTCACTGTAAAGCCTTTGGTCTACTTACATGTTGGATTTAATTGTACTTATGTATAAATTACTCTCAAGGTAGACCTTGTTTGCCTGGGCCCCATCTATTTATTTCTCTGGATTAATTGGCTGGGTTCTATAGCTAGTGAAGGGTCAGGAAGGATGGTATTGAGTATGTAGATACCAGTTTAGGGAAGCAGAGGACAGAGATACAGAAAACTTAGCCACCCCCCACCCCTCCCACGTCTGCCCCAGAAATGAGAACATTAGAAGTGCATTCTTGGAATTTTATTTCTTTTAATCCAGACTGTTTTAACCTTGGTTTCCCAGAAGAGCTAAATTCAGATACACAAAAATGAAAGGATTTGCTCATTTGTGATTCATATTCTTGTGTTTCATCTTGGGCTTTCCCTTCAACTGAGGCTACCTTTTTTCTGTACAGGTTCCCGAGCAAACAACTTGTTTTCTTCATAAGTGATGTTCTACTCTTCAATTCTGGCTGAATTTAGGAAACCCTGTCCTCTCAATCAGTTGTTTTGATGTTCTCTTTAAAGAGTATGGGTGTCTTGTGTTATGGATCTCTGCATTATTTGAATACTATGTTTTATTTATCCTTGGATAAGATGCCCACTGGACGTTCAGGTTCTGAATTCGCAGCAATTCAGAGTATGTGGATTTTCTCCAGCTTTAATCTCTGTTCCCTTGGGTTTCAGTTGAAACCTCTTTTCAGACCTGTAGCCAGGTACAGCTCTGGACATTATTCTTTGTATTTAGTGTTTTCATTTAATGTAGCTCTTTAGGCCTAAAAGATGTTTTCTTGTATCCCCTGATGGGTGACCATCAGAGGATACATCTTCTAATAATCTGAAGAGAGCGTTTGGACAACTGTAATCCCTAGTATGTTATTAACAGTTTGACATCTGACCACATAGTTTTTTTTGGGGATTTGAAGTCTTTGAATCAAGAATGAAAAAGATGTTCTGATACACAGTTGGACAGTGCACATAATTTTAATACCAGCGGTCACTGTGAGAGCTGGTCATTTCCTGTTTGTTACAGATGTGGGGCTTCTGAAGGAATGTTTAGAAGAGAGGAAGACTCTCTCCTTTTAGATATATTGGCTTTATGTTTCTGAGCATGGGTGGCACATCAATTAAACATTTAATCTGGAGACATCTCTTTTCTCATTCTGCTAATAGGAAAATGGAATAGGTAGCAACAGATGTTATTTAAAACCAGATGTTAGAATTGGTTCTTAGAATATTTACTTTTACTGTGTTTCTATTTCCTAACATAATTTACCTCAAAATTCTTTTGGATATGAATTCTCTTTGGGAAGTCAGATTTTTTCTGAAACAGCTTTAAAAATCTCTTGTCTGTTTGTATTTGGAGTTGTTTAAAGAGAATAAATTTTCCTTCATTATGTTCTTTAATTTAGTTAAAAGAAAGCTTGGAACAATCAGTAGGCCAACTGCGGAGTCAGCGTTTATTGAGAAACTCAGGAGGGAGAAGTATTTCTATTACAAGTCTAAGTGCAAGTGACCTCGATGCTGGCACTGTGACAGGTAAACTCTTCAGATGTTTTGAACCCCCCCCCCTTTTTTTTTTGTTTTACAGATATTCCTGAAGTACATAGTGAATGCATTTAATCTTTGGAGAAATAGAACCCATACATAAAGTCGTACAAATAAGGTTTAGCAGATGCACTTGTCCGTGATTTTATGGTGCCTCATTTGAAATCTGTTCAGTGGGACTTTGTTATACTATTACTTTTGTTATCAGACTCCATAGACCACATAGGGTTTTACCTGACAAAATTGGGACTTAATTGTCTACCTCTAATCAAAATAAACACATAAATAGGATTTACCATGTGTTACACTTTCTGGATTAGAAGTCTTGCCCCAGCTTCACAGTTTTTCAAAGTCTGATTAAGAAATATCCTAGTACACATGTTAAAAACAGGTGAATTTTATCTTTGGTGTGCAGCTAGATTTCAATGGCTAGATTAAAGCTGATAACACTTGGTTTGCCTGTAGTTAATCTTGTTAATCTCACTTAATACTTTCTTACAGCACTGAGATCACATTTGAATAGAAAAGTACACAGTGAAGAGAGGTGATTTAGATAAAATGAATATTAGCAACTCGCATTGTTAATGATGCTATTGATGATGATAATAAGGATTAAAAATTGGACACAATCAGCTAATCTTTTTTATGTAGTTTTTATTGATTTTTAAACCATGTTCAGATTTTACCTTACTTTGAAAAATTCTGTTTTATTGGTATTAACTTATATTTTAGAGAGATAAGTTATTTTCATTTACCAATTAATTATTTTTAAATAAAGGAATATATTGCTTCTTTGAAAAGTATAGCAAATTAGAACTTTTGATGTTTTCTGTTTCTGGGTTATTTCTGTTGCTCATTTTATCTGCTTTAAGAACAAGATGAGTGCCAGTTTGCAGCCATAGCAAGATACTTGAGAAATAGTCTGGGTTAGGGCGTGTGTATATATCCATGACTGCTATGTATTTTCTGAGCAAAATTTTAGATCTTTTCTTCTCCTGCATGTTTTTATTCTCTCTTTTTTGTTTCATCTCTAAAGAGAGCTACCGTTTTCCACCTACCTCACCTCTCAAGGACTATGGAGATCAGCAGGGTAGTAAACGAATTAGGTCCAGAACTGGTGTCCGATTTGTTCGGGAGGCTGACAACACAGGCCAGGTACTTTGTACTATTCTCTAATCCGTTTTTGATCTTTTTTTTTTTTTTTTTTTAAACCAATGGGACTATTTTCAGTGTACTAATTATCATTTATCTTAAACTTCGTTATGGAGAATTACATTTTGTAGAATATTTAAAAGTGAGTTTACGGGCACCTGGGTGGCTCAGTTGGTTAAGCGTCCGACTTCGGCTCAGGTCATGATCTCACGGTTCGAGCCCCGCATTGAGCTCTGTGCTGGCAGCTAGCTCAGAGCCTGGAGCCTGCTTCAGATTCTGTATCTCCCCCTCTCTCTGACCTTCCCTTGCTCACGCTGTCTCTCTCTCTCTCAGAAATAAATAAAACATTAAAATAATTTTTTAAAAATTAAAAAAAAGTGAGTTTAGTTGGACATGTTTTGTTTCCTTGTTCAGGTGGCTCATTCTCCTGTAAGCCCTGCTAAGTCAACTACTTTCTATTTTGCTAACTTTGGGTTAGTATAAACAAGTGAGGCCTTGGCGTGGTCAGCCTATTGATTTTTTCCATTGGTATTTTTCTGATTGTTGAATCATTGTTAGAGTTACTTAATAGAAGCAAGAAAGTTCATACTTTTTTCATGTGTTTTATGTATTCACTAAAGATTTTGGAAGTATTCGTTCTAAGGGCATATTTCTTTTTTTTGCTGTTTTAAACTTCTGTACAAGAGTTGAAAAAATGTTTCTTGTCGGGTAGCTAAGTTAATTAGACAAGGACTAGATAATGTTGCTGACTTTGACATCTTTGTTTTGCTAGTTTCAGGATTGCAGGCTCAGAGTTTGTCAGGATACTCAGCTCTAGCTTTTGCTTGTCACAGATTAAGATAGAACAGAACCAAGAGCATGAGACACCACCTTGTCTGTGTGTATGTATTTGTTTCTATTTTTTATTTTTTGGTAGGTGCAACTTGCTAGTGTGGATTATATGATTAAGCCTAGAGCACAGTATCCTAACATTATTCATTTACTCTTCCATTCTCTTTATTTAGTGCCATTGTTCTGGGACAGTGCTTGTGCTTGGGAAAAGGGATAAGCAAAACCCTTGCCTTTTTGTGGAGTTTGTAACCTAAGGGGAGGGGCTAGACATTAAAACAAGTACACAGATGCATCCATAATTGAGAGCTGAGATGCATGTTACAACAGAAAGCATAGGGCCATGGGAGTGTGCAGTAGAAGGACCTGCCCCAATGAGGGAAGACTTCCTGAAGAAAGGCTTCAGGGAAGTCGAGTGAGTCATTTTAGGTAGAACAAATACCTTGACAGGAAGGAAGCTAATACCTATAGACAACTTAAAGACCATGTGGCTGAAGAAGTATGAAGGACCAAGACTATGCATAGTCTTTGTAAGGAGATAACAGTTATTTTGAAAAGATCACTTCACCTCTAGTTTAGAAAATGAAATCAATGTGAGAAACCAGTTAAGAGGGTATTTCTGTGTTGGGGGTGTGAGATGGGGGTTACTTGGATTAGGAGAAATGCATTTGGAGAGATGGTAGGGTATACTTCAAAGCTATTTGGTGGGTAAAATGAAAGGTCTTGAAGATCAGATGACCATCTGGGGAGGGGGAGAATGATTGAAAAGGAGGTGTCAAGGGTGAGTCCTAGGATTCTGATTTGTAAAACTGTAAAATCATGGCAGAACCTAAGTGAATGGTCTGCTCTTCATCCACTGTATTACCTCCACTCCTTTTTTTTTAATTGCTCTTCCTTATTTTAAATCTCTCTTAAGATGACCTTCAGCTCCACGTGATAGTGTACTTTCTTATTTATTTAAAAAAATTTGTTTGTTTATTTTGAGAGAGCGAACAAGCAGGGTAGGGGTAGAGAGAGAGGGGAGAGAGAGAATCCCAAGCAGGCTCTGCACCATCAGCGCAGAGCCTGATGCAGGGCTCGAACTCATGAACTATGGAATCGTGACCTGAACCGAAATCAAGAGTTGGATGCTTAACCAACTCAGCCACTCAGGTGCCCTGACTGTGTGCTTTTCTTAATGTCCCACACATCCTTTGTCATTTGTTTGCATGTCTATCTCCCATGTTAAATTCTGAGCCCCTTATTACCTACTGCAGTTGCTGGCACTGAGTAGTTGCTCAATGTGCATTTGTTGAAATGAATCCATTTGTTGTTTCTGCAAACAAATTATAGTATACACTTACATACATAGTATACATATTTACAATTAAAAGTACAATAATGTAAATAAAAATCCATGTAACCACCATCCCCATCCAGGCCAAGAATCAAAGCATTGTCATACCCCTAAAACCTCTTTTACACCCCTCCTTTCCCCAAGGGCTATCAACTATCCTGACTTTTATATTAACCATTCTCTTGCTTAAAAAAGAAAAAAAAATTGTACGACATACATCTTGTTTAGTATTGGCTGTGTGTAAACTTTATATAAATGGAATAACACTTTATGTTTTCTTCTGCTTTTTTTCTATTGATGTCATGGTTTTGACATTCAGCCTTACTAATGTGTGCTTAGGTTTGATCATTTCATTTTTATTGCTGTGTTATACTCCACTGGGAGATCATCACAATTTATTTATATCCGTTCTGTTCTTAATGGACGTTGTGGGTTTTTTTTTTTTCCCCAGTGTTTTCATTATGAACAGTGCTGCTCCAGACATTCTTGTGGGTGGTTCCCACTGCATGTGGGCAAGAGTTTCTCTGCAGCCTGGGTTGGCATACTCTGCCATGTGTGGTCTAGTTGAATAGGTTCTTTTGTAACTCCACCACCCATGCTCATTTGTTTATGGCTACCTCTGTGCCAAAATGGCTGTACTGAATAATTTTGACAGAGGCCATAGAGCCTGAAAGCCTGAAATATTTACTGTTGTACCCTTTATAGGAAAAGTTTACTGACCTCTTTTTTTTTTTTTTCTCTTAAGGTATCTCAAAGGACTAAAATTAGTGTACTATAGAGGATATGATGGTTAATGTTATATATAACTTTTTGAAAGTTGCTTTTCTTTGGGAAAATGTTTCAGAGTAGACAATTATTATGTCTTATTAACATACAGTTTGGGCCTTAGAGCAAAAAATAAGTTCTTCTTCTTCGTGGAAGAATTAAACAGAATCCTAAATGGCTAACTGTGTTTTGCTTTTACTAGTTTCATGCTTTTCATCAGTCCCTCCGAGACCTCAGCAGTGAACAAGTTCGGCTTGGAGACGATTTCAATCGGGAATTTGCCAGAAGAAGCAGGTAAAAGCAGAATATGGTTTTTGTTAGAGGCATGAGTTATTAGAAGAACACAATAATTGTGTTCTGTAATTGACATGTTTATATGAATTCAAAACACAGTGCTGTTTCTATACCAGCATTTTAAAATTTATTAATAGAACAGTTTAAAATCCTTTGAATTTAGAATGTATCATGATTCAATGTTAGACAAATTAAATTCATATGTTTAAAACCTTGTTAACTTACTGCACTGGAGTACTCCCATTATGGAGAGATACATTGTGAGACCTTAGCAAAGAGGTTAATTTGCAAATAGTTGGAGAGAGAGAGACAGAGGCAGAGACCAAATCACCAATAATGAAGCTTAAAAAAATAAAGGATTATAGCTTGGAATTTGTCAACATGAGCCATTGCAGAATATACGGAATAATTCATAAGAGGTATAAATATATTAGGTAAGTTACATAGGTAACCAGTAGAAAAACTAAAAATAGTAATGAATGTGTCTGAAATTGGAGAGGGGTATCAGTGAGCTAAATATTTCAGATGCAGAGAGTTAATTGAAAATGTCTAGAGATGAAAATTATGGCGTTAACCAGCAGAAGAATGAAGAATGGAAATGGTTGAGCATGGGTGCCAGTGGTGAGGGCAACCTGAGGTAAGGAGGTGTGAGAGAGGAAGGCTTTGGTTTTATTTGTGAGTCTTCCAGTGCTGTTGCATTATCGATCATGCATATTATTAATCTGTTGGGAAAAAAGGTAATGGGGAAGTAAGTTGAGGATGGAATTTGTACAGCACACTCTGATGTAATTTGGTTATGGGTTGCTAGAGAGGATTTGAGATCACATTTAGTCATCACCCCCTTTCCTTCCTTCTTAATTTAAAATGAGACGTATTGCAACCTTTCTTTTTTTACTGAAGGTAATGGTCCAGTATAGCGTTTGTTCTCACAGTCTAATTCCGAAATCAGCACCATTGGCGTCAGCTGGGAATTTGTAGAAATGCACATTCCTGGATGCCATTGCAAACCCCTGATTCCGCATTCTGTCTTAAAAGTCCTCCAGGTGTTTCATATGTTTGCTGAGATTTAAGAACCAATGCAGTAGAATATTATATGATAACATTATTATGTTGTAAATTTCACTAATGGTGTGTATTTTTTCAAACAGCCAACTTAAATTTTTTTTTTTTTGCCTAGGTCGGATGCTGAAACAAAAAAGGCTTTGGAAGAATTGGCTGAAAAGCTTAACGAAACCCAAAAACAAGAAGTGGTGAGAACTCTTTGTTTATATTAAAAAAAAATTTCATACACGGATATTAGAGTGGCTGGCCTGGTTATAATCACAATGAAGTTTAGTAGATCTTAACTCTTTGGATGATATATATCATTTTGTCTAAAATATGTTCTTGAACTTCTTATAAAATGTTCATGAATTTGGGGTATTTCAGTTTAAAATATTTACAGTAGGAATATATTAGTGATTGAATTATTATTTGTCTAATTTTTAGAATTTTCTTAGGAATATTCAAAAGATATTTTAAATTTCATTGACCCAGTAATTCCATGGCTTTTCTTAAATGATGTTTTAGAAATATGAAATTTTTTGATAGGGACTCTGTAGCACTCCTCATTAAGTATTGTCGTTTCATGTAGGTGTGTAATCATAGTTACTACAAAGATCCCTAATTCTCAAGTTTTATTTTCTAAAACTCCTATTGTTGAGAGTCATTATTTAGGAGTTTCTTTTAATCAAACTACTGTTCTTGGTGGAATTGAAGTGAAAAATGAAGTACTTATAGTGTCTGTTTCTTTGCGTAATCAGTTGTTTGTTTTAGGAGAAAATAAATCAATAGGAATTGTCATTAAACTTGGTAACTTATCAACTTAAGGAGCAATGTGTATTTATTCATTTCCTGTAGCACCTTTTCTTTTACCAAGATCCAGAGTGGTAGCAGAATTTTTTCCCTTAACATGTTTTATTCAAACTGAAAGTATATTAGCAGATATTTTTTTCTGTGGTTTTTATTATGTTTATAGATCCTTACACAGATACCTTGAGTTTATTTTAGAATTTGAATTTATTGGCTGCATTTGCTAAGAGATGGATATACTCTGTTTTCAAAGAGATCAGCTTAGTTACTCTGTTTGCAGTGAAATTTGCCCATTCCAAAAATTTGAATCAACATCTGGCCACATAAAAAGCACATTCTTCTTGTGCTCTTGGTGCTGATTTCATTGCGAAACACCCCAGAGAGGTGAAGATATTATGTGTATCTTCTGTTGAAATAGACAAAATCTTCCCAGTTAGTGCGTGATGATATGGCATCTGATGCCCGATCAGGATACAGAATACTCCTTTTTTTTTTTTTTTTTTTTTTAAACATAAAGTCTTAGATTTTTCCAGGCATTATCAAGACCTTCAATTTAAATTGTGCCAGTCTAAAATACCTCAACTATCATTTTTTCAAAGAAAAAAAGTATTTTCTGAGATTAACAGATTGGTGCCTTTCTTAGTTAATTGCAGTGGTTTACACAGCAAGAAATCTGTGCCATTGTCTGATTTGCACTGTATAAATAGGAGTGGACTGCACACTTTTAAGAACATAGCTCCAAGATCCTCTGTAACTTTTAAGAAATGATATTTTGGCTCTTCTCATATATTCTAGAGTGGAACCTGTCACCTGACAGTGGAAACTGCTGAAGCTTCATCTTTTTTTTTTAAAAAATTTTTAATTTTCTAAATTTGGAAGTATAATTTACTTACAGAAAAGTACATATGTTATTGTAAAACTCAATGAATTATTATGAGGTTAACAGGCCCATTGTAACCGCCAGCCAAATCTAGAAATAGAACATTACCAGTGTGTGCGTGAGAAGCCTCCTCATTCCCCATCCCAGTCACTAATTTCTCCTTTTTCAAAGATGAGCACTCTTGTGACTTCTGTTAATTTTGCCTGTTTTAAATATTTTATATAAATAGAATTATACAGGGCATTTTTTTGTGTCTGTTTTTTTGCTAATCATTAAGGTTATGATATTTCTGGGTGTTGTATCATATACCTGCAATTCGTTCATTTTTATTGCTCTTTGGCATTCTGTTGTATGGATTTACAGCAATGTATTTTAACATCTTATGATGGATATTTGAATTAATTCAAATTTTGGGTTATTACAAAAAAGGCTGCCGTGACTAATCTTATTTATTATTCTAGTGCACATGTACATGTAGTTCTGTTAGTATATAATACGGAGAGCAGTTGCTAGGTGCCTTTAGATTTAGTAGATAGTGATAAACAGGTTTCCAAAGTGGTTGTATTAATTTACATTTCCACTAGCAGTGTAGGAGAATGTTGCTTTTTATCCTTTCCAGTACCTGGTATTAGTAGTCTTTAAATAATAGCCATGATGATAGGTGTGTATAGTGTCTCATCATGGTTTTAATTTGCATTTTTATGATTACTAGGTGATGAGCAGTTTTCACATTTTGTTTTTTTCTAGACTTTCTAATTTCTTACTGAATAGTATGGTAAGAATCTACTGCATTCTTGTGGCTGTTGGTAATTTGTCTTTTGAAATACTAGTTCATTTCTTTTATCCCCTTTTTTTATTGGCCTGCTTGTATTTTTGTTATTGATTTGTGGGAGATCTTTATATATTTTGTATATGAGCACAATTTCAGTTATAAGTATTGCTGTGTTGTCTCCCAGTAGTCTTCAGCTGTTTCTTCTCATTCTTAAATATCCCTTCATGGGGTCTTCTGTTTAAATTTAATCTAGTTCAGTTTTCTATCTTTTCTTTCATGGTTAGTGTTTTTTGTTTTTTTTTTTTAACCTGTTTAAGAAGTTGTTCCCTATCTTCAGAACATGAAAATATTTTCTTATGTAATATTCTAGAAGCTTATTGTTTCACTTTTTATGTAAAGACTTAGTGTGTACTGGAATCGGTAAGTTGTTTAAGGTGTGAAGTAGGGATCATACATTTTGTATGAATATCTATTGATGTAGTTTCATTTATTGAAAGAATCAGCCCTTTGTTACTACTTCATAGTCCTGTTTTGATTGTAAATCAAAGGTTCATGTGTGCAGGCATCTGTTTCTGGACTTTTATTTGATCCTCTGATTCATTTGTCTATTCTAGTGCCCACATCACATGATCTTGATTATTGTTGCTTTGTGATAAATTGTGCTATAGTAGAGTTAGTCTTTTTTCTTTTTTTTAATATAATATATTGTCAAGTTAGCTAACATACAGTGTATACGGTGTACTCCTGGCTTTGGGAGTAGATTCCCATGATTCAGTGTTTATGCACAATACTCATTGCCCATCCCAACAACTCTCATTTTGTTCTCTGTATTTAAGATACTCTTATGGTTTGTCTCCCTCTCTGAAACTATTTTTTTCCCTTCCCTTCCCCCATGGTTTTCTGAGTTCAAGATCCATATATGGGTGAAAACATATGATATCTGTCCTTCTCTGACTAACTTATTTTACTTAGCATAATACCCTCCAGTTCTATCCATGTTGCAAATGGCAAGATTTCATTCTTTCTCATTGTCAAGTAGTATTCCATTGTCTATATAAACTACATCTTCTTTATTCATTCATCAATTGATGGACATTTGGACTCTTTCCATGATTTGGCTATTGTTGAAAGTGTTGCTATAAACATAGGGGTACATGTACCCCTATAAATCACTCCTGCATCCTTTGGATAAAACCTAGCAGTGCTATTGCTGGGTCGTAGGGTAATTTCCGTTTTTAATTGAGGAACCTCTACACTGTTTTCCAGGGCAGCTGCACCAGTTTACATTCCCACCAACAGTGCAATGGGGTTCCCATTTTCCCACATCATTGCCAACATCGTTGTTTCCTGAGTTGTTAATTTTAGCCGCTCTGACCTGTATAATGTAGTGTCTTAATGTAGTTTTGATTTGTGTTTCCCTGATCATGAGCAATGTTGAGCATCTTTTCATGTGTGTATTAGCCATTTGGAGGTCGTCTTCGGAAAAATGTCTGTTCATGTCTTCTGCCCATTTCTTCACTGGATTGTTTTTTGGGTGTTGAGTTTGGTAAGTTCTTTTGGATACTAATCCTTTATCCGGTATGTCATTTGCAAATATCTTCTCCCATTCTGTTGGCTGCCTTTTAGTTTCATTGATTGTTTCCTTTGTAGTGCAGAAACTTTATCTTGATGAGGTACTAATTGTTCAGTTTTGCTTTTACTTCCCTTGCCTTTGGAGACAAGTGTCAAGTCAGAAGTTGCAGTGGCTGAGGTCAAAGAGATTGTTGCCTGTTTTCTCCTCTAGGATTTTGATGGCTTCCTGTCTCATATTTAGGTTAGGTCTTTCATCCATTTTCAGTTTATTTTAGTGTATGGTTTAAGAAAGTGGTCCAGTTTCATTCTTCTGCATGTTGCTGTCTGGTTCTCTCAGTACTATTTGCTAAAGAGGATACTCTTTCTGCTTTGTCGAAGATTAGTTGGCTACACATTTGTGGGCCCAATTCTGGGTTTGCTATTCTGTTCCATGTCTGTTTTTGTGCCAGTACCATACTGTGTAGATGATTATAGCTTTGTAGTAGAGGCTAAAGTCCAGGATTGTGATGCCTCCTGCTTTGATTTTCTTCTTCAATATTACTTGGGCATTCAGGATCTTTTGTGGTTCCATCCAAATTTTAGGATTGCTTGCTCTAGCTCTGAGAAGAATGCTGGTGCAATTTTGATTGGGATTGCATTGAATGTGTAGATTGCTTTCAGTAGTATTGACATTTTAACAAAATTTGATCTTCCAATCCATGTGCATGGAATGTTCTTCCATTTCCTTGTGTCTTCTTCAGTTTCTTTCATAAGTTTTCTATAGTTTTCAGCATACAGATTTTTTACATCTTTGATTAAGTTTATTCCTAGATATTTTATGGTTTTTGGTTCAATTGTAGATGGGATGGATTCCCTGATACCTCTCTTTCTGTTGTTTCATTATTGGTGTGTAGAAATGCAGCGGATTTCTGTACAATGATTTTGTATTCTGCAACTTTGCTGAATTCATGTATAAGTTTTAGCAGTGTTTTAATGGAATCTTTCAGGGTTTCCATGTAGAATATAATGTCATCTGCGAAGAGTGGAAGTTTGACTTGTTCTTTGCCAATATTGATGCCTTTTATTTCATTTTCTTGTCTGATTGCTGAGGCTAGGACTTCCAACACTATGTAAAACAACAGTGGTGAGAGGGGACATCCCTGTCATGTTTCTGATCTTGGGAAAAAGCTCAGTTT